GACAATGAAGCTAAGCTCAAGGTGGAGGTGCACAAGACAAATGGTGGATGGAGGCGGTGAACTTGGCGCAAGAGTTGACACAATATGTATTTTATTGTTTCATCAATACTATTATTTAGCCTGTCAAGATTTCTAAGTACCGAACTGTCTTAGGACCTGTTTGGATGAACTGCAACTAGTTAGCCATGGCTAAAAATTAGCCAATTAGTTATTTTATTAGTCCATACCTGTTTGTATTGTGAACTAATTGTTGGGTTCTATGGACTAGTTGGATGGCCCTTGATAGTTGCCATCACTGTATTTTGTTGTTCATTGACTCGCAATGATCCGGATAGTCTATATTTCCTAGGGTCGAACTGTCTTAGGCTCTAGAAATTTCAACATCTATACGCCCACGTCCTCTATCAGAAAGGGAGAACACCGTTAGTATACTACATATCAGAAAGAGAACCAGAAAGAGAACTGCAGGCAAAAGCAACCACTAGGGGCTAGATAGAGTTTAACCTACCTAATACAAAGTTCCACAAAAGTTAACATAGACATAGCAATTGCATGGGTTAAACTCTGTTGAGCGTGGTGTAGATCAGATCCTTTGGTCATTTGGTAGCCGTTTTCTTGCCCTTGTTGGTTGGTTTTGCCTGTTTGTTTCTTTCTGGTTCTCTTTCTGATCTTTAGTATGTTAAATATGCATAACAGAATTCATCCAATCAAGTCTCCCGTCGATCTAATGCCTAATGGATGAGCCACATAGCTATTCGAAGTTTATTGCACACATAAGAAAGTATGAGCATTGTAAATCTGACTGGGCCGGACACATCTCATGTTATACAAGGAAACTATTTCATACTAGTACTTTTGTTGAATCCCTAAAGGAAACAAATATAATTGAAACAAAACAACAGAAATGCAAAAGCAAAAGGAAATCAACAGCTACTGAATACACTATATTTGAGGATAAATTTCAAATGCCAGAATACACTACATTCAAAAAGAGTGAACTACTAGTTTCTTATTCCAATTTCCCATTCGAAAAAATGGATTTCTTGGCCACACCGACAGTCTCGCTGCAATACAGAGCTCTTCTTTCCCATCCATCAGCATAGCCGTAGACGCCACCTGCGCACGGAAGATCACCACGCACCTGTCCCGGCAGCGACAACGACAACTTGCCCCACGTCATTCAGAGGACCACCTCGGTGGCTGGGAGGCGGCACATCACACACCCCTTGTTGCTTAGCCACCTACTCGTCGATACGCCGCCACTGCCCGCCATACTTCCTCACCCTTGACCCATCTTATGTACCACCTCGCAGTGTTGTCGTCATCAGCATCGCCATTGTGCCTATAGAGCAATAGGGTGGCCAGATAGGTTGCCAGATTGTGCCCTCTATCAGCAGCGCGGGCAAGATCATTGAGGCATGGGTGGGGGCTATGCTTTTCCACGAATACAGTTTGTATCCTGGTGAGGAAGCAAGTCTTTGGGTTGCCTACTTGGGTCAGGCTAGCAAGGAGGGCTTTGTAGTCGACGGTGTCGTCCCACGTCTTCCCGCGTCTGAATCGATCTAGTGCCAGATGCTGACCGATGGTGAGGTCACCGTAGATGCAGCACATGGACGAGCAGGTCGCCCATAGGCTGCAGAGGTTGTCCATGGGCTGCTCCAAGGTCATAGCGAGGTGGCCGACGATAACAATTGGCACCTCGATAGGGAGTGCCATCAGCGACATGATTGCCTACGTGGATCGAGCTATGGTGTAGGTTGATTGAGGAGGAGGCGGGGGAGGCCGCTGAGCCGGGGCTACAGTAGGAGTTCTTGAAATACCCTCTGCGAACTGGCGTGGGAACTCGCAATGACTTTTGTGCAATGCAAGGGGAGTCAAATAATGGGAGTGAGGCCAGGCTTTTTACACACAGGGACGCCAGGGCTGGAATAGGATTCCGAGTAGTGAATATTTTAGATGGGTCAGACCTTCTGTCATCCGGTGAAGTATACAGTGGCATAGTGTAGTCCAATCCAAGCAGTCGCAAGCTCGTAGAAGCCAAGGGGCAGCAGCTAGCTAGAGATGGCTACATGGTTTCATAGGTTCTGATCATCTGCACTCCTGGAGGAGAAGGGAGGATGCTCCTTTCATATAGACCTTGCACGGCTGATGAGAGTAAAGCGAATGCAGCAGGAAAGCTGGACACGAGAAGTGAATCGAGAAAAAGAGCTTTTGACCACCATGACACGCTTGACACTTGAATGCCTAGTACATCTGTGATAGGTCTTTTCTATATTCTTATTTCACTCCAATCCAAGCAGTCACAGCAGTCGAGGGGCAGACTGATTGCTACAACACTTTATAATGTCCTACAAGATCAAATACACAGCGGGCAAACTTTATTGCGTTCGTAGTAAAAGTCAACAGCTATGACTCATCTGTTCTGCATTACATCGAGGCGAGACTTGTTCAGATGAACTCCTCGCTGCATGGTTCTTTCAAGTTCAACAAATCTGCAGGCAAAAGCAACCAACAGGGGCTAGAAACAAGTTACCAAATAACCAAAGGAATTGAGCTACACCACACTCAACAGAGTTTAACAGACCTAATACGAAGTTCAACAAAAGTTGACACAGAAATGCATGCAAATAACTAAGACTTCACATACGGTCATCCCATAGACCGAACCTAGTCATGACTTGTACTACTAATATGTCCCACTGAAATGGTTGAGGCGGTCGTGTAGGATCTCATCCACGTTCATCTTCGCTAAGAAGGCGTTGGCGGTCAGCTTGACGCAGTTGAACAGATCATCAATATAATCTTCGTCTTCCGGTGCCGGTGGAAAAGCCTGTTGCACCACCCGGACTTTAACCACTATGCCAAACTCAAGCCGGGCAGCGATGAGCACCATGGCAGCCCCTTGATGGATGGCTTCAGATGCCACGGCCTGAATGTGGCCGGTAGGGCTCGAAGGCGCTCCTCTAGTGGAGTGACCGGATCATCCGCTGTCTGCACTGGGAAGGCCGCATCACAGGCAGTTGTAGTGTCAACAAGCAGGTTCTGGACCTCCACCTCAGTGGTCGCCTTCTCATCTCGTGCCTGGCTGGCTTCTTGTTAAGTGCAGCATGCACGGCCTTCAGCTTATCACGCAGCTTGTCGACATCCAGACTGGCCCCTAAGTACAAGTTTGTGACCTTGAGGTAAGCCTCCTTTAACTTAAGTATTCTTCATGGTCTGACGATGCAACACCAGAAGACTGTCAGGGGTTAGACGAGACTTTGTGGTCTGACGATGCATCACTAGAAGACTGTCCGGGGTCAGACGGGATCGGCGACGGCATGCGGTGATGGGACATCTCTCTGCACAATGTAAGCCAAGTTCAAGCCCACAGGATAAGGGGGAGAGCGATATGATTGAGAAGGCTAACGACTCATCGGGCTATCCGGAGTAGCATGGGATGGAATCGTCGCTAGTGGCTGCCCCCACTGGGGGATGGTTCCTAGGGCCGCTTTCCGAGCATGACCACGGACGAAGAACCTGGCTCCACGACCAAAGATCCTTGAGACGCCATCACGCCCACGTCCACCTATTGAGAAAGTAGGCAATTTCCAAATACTAGTTAAATTAAGCAGCATGAACACAAATACTAGCGTGAGCATTGCTTGCATACTCTAGTTAATTTAATGAAGAGAAACAACATGAACAGCGGTACACGAAAAAATCACCTCGTCGAGAGGAACTGGCGGTGGGTGTGAGACCACGCCAATGAGAGGTCCATCTATCGGTGGAGGATGGCCAGCGCTGAAGGCCACCGGGGACTCCCCCTGCCACGATCCATCATGTACTCTCCCATAACCTTCATCACCCATTGGTCTAGGTCATCCTCATGGATGGTCACCCTTGACTCGATTGTAGGGTACGTTGGGCCATGGAACTCCCACTGGGGGTGGTGCCTCATCTTCAATGGGAGGACCCAATGGCTGATGAAGGTATGGATCACCCTGGTCCTTGTCAGGCCTCGGTCCTTCAGGTCCTTGATCGCATCCAACAAGTTGGGCACATCTGTAGGCCACTAGGGGCGGTAGTTCCTCCTAGGACTCTGGGAGGTCACCACACAGTCGGTCAGGAGAATAAGATGGTAGTGGCGGGCTCTCATTGGGGATGTAGATCCATGACTTTTGCCACCCCAAGTCTACGGAAGGGTAGCGGTCAAGGCTCAGGTACATGTCCTCCAATCCAAGACAAAGCTGAGCGCACCACCCGAAATAAAGACCGCCATAGCTCATAGTGGGTAGGGACTCCTAGGAAGCCCTTGCACAGCATGATGAAGACAGAGAGGTGGAGGACCCCCTTTGGGATCAAGTCATCGATGCGGATCCCATAGTAGTACAACAATCACTAGAGTAAAGGGTACGCCAGCACCCCGAACCCAAAGGAGTGGAAATGGGCGAAAGAGATGACCTCATTCTCCTTCGGCCTCGGCTCCACTTTGGTTCTCAGTGGGACTCTCCAACCGATCACGTCGGCGGCATCCGGGATCACCGTGTTCAGTCACAGCTCGTCGAACGCCTTACGATCGATGGATGACTTCGTCCACTGCGTCGTCATGGTCCTCGCAGGAGGCGTCGGCGGCGCAAACGGCGCAGTAGGGTGGAGGGCAAAAGCTTTGGGATGGAATTGGGAGATCTGGGGTGGGAAGCTAGATGGATGATTGCAAAAGGTAGCAGATAACCCGTGAAACCACCACATGACCCACGACCACTGACATGTTTATGTGGGTGGGTGGTTCGGCTTTGCCCCATCACATCAATGCGACGGGCAATGAGGCAACACCCCTACTGGAACTTCTTGCTAACGCCACCCACATGCGCGCGCCTGCACGGGAATCTAGGAGCCTACAAGATGAAAACGGATGCCGCACGTCATTCATCAATACTATCCGGGTAGTCATGATTTCAAACTGTCGAACCTTCTATGATAAACCTTATCGCTCCACTAGTGTCCGACTAGTGAAAAATTTAGATGATCCTTCTGTCTATAGGGTGCACAAACATTTCAATGGCTGTGCATCTGTCCTTTGATGGTTGCGATCAGCCCAAATCTGAATTCAACTACTCCCTCCGTCCCAAATTGAGGAGTCAGAATTGTCAAATGTGACCAAATAAAAAAACTCAATGTAATAAGAATCAACCGAAGTATATGAAGTATGAAAGAAATAAAGAAAGATAAATATAGTTGGACCAACATAATAACTTCATTCCTTTATATACAAAAGTACATTACATAGTATTTCTCTAATCTCTAATGTCTAAAACATCTCATCTTTCCAAGGGGACTCATGTTAGACGGTTAACAAATTGCATTTAGTTGATCAACATGAGTGAAGATGATAGAGTCTCCTCCCACAAACATAGTAACACTACTAAGTCTTTTCATTTGCTCAAAATTCCTAACACGGACAAAAATCTTGCCACTATCATTGTTTTTGACAACTGTAACAAAGCAATCTTTACCAAGCATATAACGAACTGCAGCTTCAACAACGACCAATCAGGGTTGTTGATGAACATGACGTCCCCAAGCAACAAGCACCCCTTCTATGATACCTGGTGACACTCCTAGCAGCCAAAGGGCAAGCTTGCTGGTGGAGTAAACATGGGTGTTGTGGTACGACGATCTCTCTCTATATACAGAACAAAAAACACAAGGAAAATCATTAGAAAAACCCACATATGAAAAAACACTACACCTTGAAAAAGCAAGAACCAGTACAAAGCAACAGAATATTGCCTAGGCCATATCTTAGCCTCGATTGAGATCTTGATCCTGACTAGAATAAAATGACAAACAAACTAAAACTCACCTCAACAAGGACGATCACTGTAGTTCTATGGGCAACACCTGCTAACGAAGTTCTAACACCGCCTCCTTTCCTTGGTTAGCAACTTGCAAGTGAAAAGTAAAAAAGACCAGGAAGGATATTTATACTCGACGCAGACGCTAACAAACGTTAGAAGACGTGATTCCCCGTAGCGTTACTAATTACTAAGAAAATAGATTCTGAATATGAGCAGTCAGAATAGTAGTTGAGGGGTGGGCACGTTTTCTTGTTCTAATGATGAGAAAGTCCGACGCGTTAAATACACAAAGCTATGGACTTTCTCATTATCACTAGCAAGAAAATGCATCAACCCCTCGACTACTACACTGGCGATTCGAGTAGTAACAGCGACGAGCAATGGGAACATACTCAAGCGATGGCAAAGTACAACACCGACTGTGACTCCAGCGAGGAGGAGGACGATCCAGAGTACTGCAACTCGTCTAGCGAATCGCTAGAGCACTAGCGAGGAGGAGGATGTTTTTTTCTTTCTCTAGAAACTCAAATCCCCTTAGAATCCATGACTTTTTCTAGGTTGGGAAATCCATGGGGATATCAATAACCTATTTAGTTATTTATGGAGGGTTTTCCATCCCTGGGCCTGTCTTTCCCTTGCTTCCAAATTATAGGCCTTAGTTCAAATAGTCGTAGATGCAGTCACACAAATACAAAAAAAATAATCGGCAGATGCAGCGCAACAAGCTACAACGAGTAGGTTTATTTTTTATTTTTTAGTAATTTTTAGGTGTCAAATTCATGCATCTTTTAATTATTTATTATCATCCTCTTTTAGTTTTATGTTTATTTATATTATTATGAAAAAACCAAAAAGGCAACAACTAACTCATCGGATATATAAACAGATGCATAGGAGAAAAAAATGAAAAGACGGATATTAGGTAAGTAACATTTTGTCGTAATCATTTCCTATTAAAAATAGAATAAATTCTGGTCTCTACTGAGCACCGCGCCGAGCAGTCCCGCAAACACACCCCAAAAATTTGATTTCGCACCGCGTCGAGCAGTCCTGCCAACACACACCAAAAATTAGAGGTCTCTCTTTTGCCCTCTGCGCGAAAAATAGGTTTACCACGCTATTGATTTCAGACAAGGGCATTTGTGGTAATGTGATGGCCACATAAATGCACAAAGAGTCGCCGTCTCCACCTCCATCTCAATTCCCCAGCCACCCCCTTTGCCACCCCGCTCCGGACCCTAGTTGCCATCGGCACAGCAGCTCGACTCCCTTTCCACTCTCCAGCCACATCCTCTCACATACATTTCTGAACCCTAGCCTCGACGATGGTACAAACCAGATATAGATCCCCTACCTCAGCACCTGCCACGACCGACCAGATCTAAACACTAGCCAAAGCCAGATCTGTTACCCCTTCGTCAACGACGGCCGCACCAGCTCTGCGACCGCGATGACAAGACCGGATCTGAACATGGACACCAAGGAAGAGGTACCCAAATTTATTTTATGATGTGTGCTCTACTATAGAGGTTGAACCAAGGATATGTAGATAGCGATGGGGTTACATATTTCCTATAGTTGAGTGTAGCTGACATGTGCTTTATTGGATTAATGATTTCCGTATAAGTTGTAGTTAGTAGTTAGGTGCTTATTTGCATACTCTTGCTCTGTTGTGTTGACATTCCGTAGAAGCTTTAGTTAACAAATGCCTTTGCTATCTAGAAAGATGGAAGAACTTGGAATACGTGTGGGCCAAAAACCTGTGTCTCCAAAGGAAAAAAGTCAAGCACAAAGGGTAGACGCGGTGAAGATTTCGAATATATCCCTGAACTAGGGGAGGTAATTGAGGGAATTGATGTTACAGATGAAACAGATTCAGATTTAGAAGATGAGCCAGTACCCCTAGCAATTGAGGTGCTTGTTCTATCTTGTATTTAGTTCGGAGAGGTGGGGTGTAGGTAGCAATGCAATGCTTTACTGTTTGGATAGCAATGCAATTTGTACATGCTTGCTGCTTAAGTTTATATCTCCAATTTCAGTGTACGGGTTGAAGGAGCCATAGAGGAGGCTCTACCAGCAGGACAAAAGGCAGCGCTGCATTGAGTCCTAGGCGAAGGCACTCCAAGCGGTTGAATTCAACATGACCAGAAGAGTTTGCTCATGGAGTTCGTACTCAGAGGGCTGCCGCTAGCAAAATGGTGGAGGTATTAGCGGTAGGTGAACACAATTCTCCATCACCATGGACACTTGTACGTAGGGATCAATTCAAACTTCATGAATTGACTAGACACATTTGTTGGGATGGCACCCTACCTAGCCCTATGAGAGGTTGCCCATGGCCAGATGATGATAGCCATGCTGAAGAGGAGCCCTCTGAGCTACCTAGCCCTAAAGAGTCTGCCCATGGCCAGATGATGATAGTCATGCCAAAGAGGAGCCCTCTGACTACCTAGCCCTATGAGAGACTGCCCATGGCCAGATGATGGTAGCCATGCCGAAGAGGAGCCCTCTGAGCAAACTCCCATCTCCACCCACCCAAAAAATAATAAAAGTTGCCTAGGTTGGTATTACCTTACAGATGTCTATCAGTCAATTCACATTAGCTATTTGATATCCATGTTACTTTTCTAACAACCTAAATGTATGAAAACTTTATAGTACCATTGCCGAGAAGTGCGAGGAAGCTGAGGCCTTGAACTCGAGGAATTTTGCTTGACAAAATGAGCAAATTAATGGGAGGATTGAGGATGCACATCTCAGTTGCCGAGGGGAACAGAAGGCCACATGATCCAGTGCATGCTGCCAAGTTTGCCTCAGAGGCAGGTGTACTAGTCAGGCATCGAATACCAATTTTGACACATTAGAAACATTACAAGAAGCCCTTCGGTGTCATCCATTATAGGAATTTTGTGGACAGGCTAACTGTATGTATGGGTATCCCCTCTTGACATTCAACTCTACTTTGAGCAACTTTAACGGATTTACTTTTCATTAACACTATTGCGTGCAGTCAAGGCTAGACATTGACAAGGCTCACCCACCAACACAAGAAGCTTGCTGGAATGTATTGCAGTGTGGGGTACGGTAGGCACGCTATAGGTTGAAGCAAACCTACTTCAATGGCGTCCCTGCTGATCAGATCCCTATGACCTCTCCTGTCCCATGCATGAGCGATGAATAGTGGTGTGAACTTGTCGAGACTTGGTCTAGTGCTAAGAACAAGGTGTGTGTGAACCCATCGATTTCCTATCTAGTCTTGCTATGGTCTACTTGTGCTACAGTCTAACACAAATGAGGCTATAGGAAACATCTGAGACGAACAAGTGAAACCGTGCAAAAGTGAAGTACCACCAGTCTATAGAATCTCACTCGTATGTTGTCCAGCTGCAAACATTTGTAAGTGATGGTTGTGTTTTATTGTTACTCTTGCCTTTGTATAAATACAAATAGAAACTCATGTGCAATGTGAACAGAAGGAGAACAAGAGGAAGGCCGTAGAACACGATCAAGGACTTGATGAACAACATGATGATCTAGGACTTGAACAACATGGTTGACCTCATGAAGATGTTAATGTTGTGGAAGTCTTCAAGGACTTCCATACCAGTACAAAAAAGGGCCTGAGCAATGCTGCAAGAGCAGTAGTTGTAAGTACCTTCATTTGCTTTTCTTAAAATCTACTGAACACATTGCCATAAAAGAAGGAAACACGGTAGGAGCCTAATGTGGTAACATCATTTAATTTTGTAGTTGCAATTTTACACCATTCAACATGGTACCTGTACATTGTGCTTATGTAATCTCTACCGGCAGTAGGCTACAAAAGACCTATGCATTGTGCTTATGTAATCTCTATCAGCAGTCATCTGAGGAAGTCCTATGCATTACTTGTTATGAATTAATCTCTTGGGTTTTTAGTTGAAATCCTCTTCCACTATCTGTAACCTATTGTTTTACTAATTGAATTTCGCAGGAAGCTATGGAAGCTATGCAAGTAGAACATGTTGCTGATGGGCAGCAACCAATGACTAGTGCTACTGTTGTTTCCAAGGTTCTCTGCCTCTACCAGGGCAGCCGCCCCTCCTAGGCAAGCAGCAAAAACCATTTTTTAAAGAATGCTGGTATCTTGAGAAGCTCCACCAGTGCAGAGATATCGGTGGTGATGACACTTCGGGAGCAGCTTGCTGGTGAATAGGAAGGTACATCTGAGTTCATCGAAATAGTGGATGAACTAAAGGTGAGGACAGAAAAGGCTAAAAGGGAGCTTGAGGAGTACAATAGGCTTAGAGAGCTAGTCTTGCGCTTAAGCTCTCCTAGTAATTAACTCTCTGTCTTCAACTCCTACGGCTTGATGTGGTGAATATTTATGGTTTGTTGTGTGGACGCATGTGATGGTTTGATGTTGTGATACTTTGTCAGTGGTTCGCTACTGATGTGTGAAATGTTAATTGTGGTTATTTGATTGCCAGGCTGAATTGTTATGTAGTCAATCTGTGCAGTAGTGATGATCTTGAATTACTTCTATGATGAATTGATTGTATGACACGCAGTACAACCAGAACAAGGCACATGATCAAATAAAAATGCGACACGTGGAGGAACAAGTGCATAACACGTGAAATAGTTAGAGCATGACTCGTGGGCTATTAAAACCCCGACATGTGGAAGGATGTCGTCAAGCCATGTGGCTGAATAAAAATGAGAAACGTGGATGGACAGTGCCATGACGCATGGTCGAATAAGAAATGGCCACGTGGACCAATAAAAATATGCCACATGGCCAATGAAGAAGTGACACGTGATCCAACCACAACACGACACGTGTGCCCTTAAAAAACTGACATGTGGAACAACAGGAACACGACACGTGGTCCAAAAAGAACCTGAAACATGCAAGAACCAGAGATGGCCACGTTGTGTAATAAGAAGGTGGCACGTACCCGAACCATCTCTAAATGCAACCGGCTATAGCATGTACACGTGGAAAGCATCTCCAATGGAAGCACCCACCAGCGTGGCAGTCCCCCTGACACACATGCCAAAACAGTTCTATGACGTTCTATTTTTCACCACAGATCAAGCCACTTCTATAACGATTTGTGAAAATCATCATAGAATTTCAAGTGTGACGCGACTTCTATGATGAACCAGTTTTCGTCATAAATTAATCATAAAACTAAATTTACGACGAATTTGGCTCCTTCAGTGACGTAATCTGATCATCATAGAAGTAGATATTCCTACTAGTGACACTTGTGGCATTTTCCCTTTCGACGTGGAGTGCCCATCGATGTAAGTTTCACACCAGAGTCGCGTGCATCGCCACCGCCGCCGCCGCCACATGCCCTGGACTTCTCCTTCTTGGCATAGTGCCCACCGCCCTTTGCACCAAACGACGTTGATGAGTCTGACACCATGTGGCTCTTGATTCTAGCCACCCACTCCTCCGTCAATAGGAGTCGACTGGCCTTGTCTATCACCTGCTCCACTGAGGGCTCGAACCGATCTTCGGCCGCACGCAAGCGACCCACAAGCTCCTCAATGGGCATCTTCTTCATGTCGCAAAACATCTCGATTGTGACCACCACCTGGTTGTAGCGTGGTGGCACAACTCGAAGAAAATTCTTCACAACACGCTTGTCATCCACGCTCTCCTCACCAAGACCATGCAGATCGGTGCCGACCCTGGTGATGCGGATGGCAAAGTCATCGATCGTCTCACCCATCTTGAATGCAATCGACTCGAACTCCGCCAACAGCTTCTGTGCATTCACCTCCTTGACACGTTCTGCACCAAGACGAATCGACTTGATTGCCTCCCATGCCTCCTTTACTGACTTCTTGTTTAGGAGCATGGAATGCATCTCCGGTGGCACGCCTTGGATCATCGCGCCCAAAGCGAGCTGATCCCGGCGTCTCTCCACCTTATTGGATTCGATCACATCCCACAGATACATGCCTTCAAGGTTGCACTATACAAGCATGGACCACTCCTGGTAATTGGTGCGGGTTAACATCGGCCATACCAGATTTCTGGCTGCCAGGTTCCATGCCCGCTCCATCACCTCCTTGTCCTTGTCACTGTGCTCTCCCATGTCAGCGACGGTAGGGTTCACGCCTTCCCTTCCTCGGATACGATGGACTGAACCACCCGGCTTCCTCTACTTCTCATCCCCGCCACCAAACGCCTCCAACTATGGGAACCTAAATTGTTGGAATCGGTGGTGACCACCGAGTTCTCGATCTTGGAGCGGGCTTGTAGCCGGCCTGGCTCGTTACCATGAGCCTACGCTTCCACATGTCCTAGGTCCACCGGAGCTGACAACATATAAGGCCTTTGGTTTTGCTCAACCCAAAAGACTAGCCTGATAGGTTGGACTGCCCTCCACCTTATATGTTGTGCTCTCCCACCATCAATATCCGATGTGGGACTAAACCCCAATAATCTCCCCTGTAATCACACATCGGGGTGCCCCCGCCATGATGTGATGCTCGAGATTTTTATCAGGTTTAGCTTTTTGACCTTGGGCGGCTCTGATACCAATTGTTAGAGCCAGGCGGTGCTCTGGACCAGAACGCGAACGCCGGCGACGGCATGGTGACCGCAGCAAGAGCTAGTAGATGGAAACACACACACGCGCGAGAGAGATATGCGCTGCCAACTGACGCAACTCAGGGTTTTTCTTCATGCCTTTATACACAATGCACGCCTAGGATCTTGGCCTGAACAACCGAGTCCCGCGCCATGCCGCAGATCACGCGCAACAATTTAGCTAACAAACTCTGATCAAGTTCTCATTCCAAGCACCATTGTCCAGTAGCAGATCAGAGACAGAGACTGGATGCCCGTCCTCTCTAGGTGTAATCGGTCAAGCGCCAAAGTGATTAGCTATCCATCGACCACCCCAAATTTCAGTAGGTTCTCCATTCACTACTCTTCTAATAAGTCCATGCTCCAGAGCTTCTCGGCCTACTAGGATAGCCGGCCAAGTCCTACTGGCATGTCTCTTCCTAGTTTCCCGCATGAAATCTGAATCATGAAAATATCTGCCCTTTAAAACCTTCATACACAAGGAATACGGTCTAGAGATGAGCCACCAACCTTGCTTGCCAAGCATTGCCACGTTAAAACATCTAAGGTCCCGAAAACCCATCCCTCCTTTGCATTTCAGCTAGGTAAGGCAATCCCAACTCATCCAGTGCAAGTGACGATTGTCAGCTGAACTACCCCACCAGTAGTTTGTTACTGTGGATCTTACGTTGTTACAAGTATTGATCGTCAATAGAAAGCAGTTCATGGGGTATGTTGGTATAGCCTTTGCAATTGATTTAATGAGAACCTCTGTCGGCGCAGCTTGCTTCACATCCACACCAACTCTCGATTCTACCCTTTACTTGAGTCGGTAAGTATTCAAAAATTCCATTCATACTTCTTCCCGCCTCCGTTGGTAGACACGAGATATCTTTCTGCCAATGCCTCTTTCTGAATATTGAGACCTCAACTAGCCACTTGTTTCATATCTTTGGAACAATTTTTACTGAAGAAAATCGTTGATTTGTCACAGTTGACCAGCTATCAACCCTACAAAGTTGTTCCCTTTTTATCGTACGTATTAGCTTCTCGTCCCATCATCTGAAACCTCTAGGGTGTACTACCTCTATTCCAAAATAAGTGTTGTTTTGAATTTTGTGCATGTCAAAACTTTTTTAAGTTTGACTAGATTTATCAATATTAGCAATACTTTTATCTTCTAATAAGTTTATTATGAAAATATATTTAAATAATTAATCTAATGATACTTATTATACACCATAAATATTAATAAATTTTTGTACATATTTAGTCAAAGTTAAAAGGGCTTCACTTCTCGAAAAATGATAATAACACTTATTCTAGGACCAAGGTAGTATGTTGTCCTAGCTCTAGATCATCGATAGTAGGATTTCACCTCATACATTAAATAGAAAGGCCCATCCTTGGCCCTCGTCTCACTTTATTCTATTTGGTTTGGGGTCGTAGCTAGGAGCTCAGAGCAATTTAAAGAGACTCTTTATATCTTTCTGTACCATTAGAAAAATACATTTTGGGTGAAAAAAATCATCTAATAGCTTTTCAGTATTAGATCTCTAAATATTGTGATCCTCTATTCTGTTTTTTTTTTGCAAGGCAAAGACAGAGAGTGAGGTTGACTCTTCAAAGTACGTGCATAAAGTTGTTGGAGGTTGAAAAGATATAACGACTAATTTTTATTTAAATGGTTCCTCAAATGATGATTCAGAGAGTGAGTTTAAAAAGAGCCATCGGAGATGTTTGAAGGGAATATTCGGTTTCAGAGCTAAAAAAATATAGTCTACTCAGGTAACATTTTCAGGCGTCGCATTTTGATGGCCTATGACTAAAATGGGTGGTTGGCTAGGCTAGCACCAGAGGTACAAATAAACATCCCCAAGGTTTTTTGTTTGGCTTGCACGAGAGAAACATGGTTGAGAATTTGTAATGACCGCCGAGATGGAGGATGTTATTCCCCACAAGAACTGGTTTAAGTATAGGAAAAGTATACTTTTTTACTTCCGAAGTTGCATGTTAATCTGGTTTTCAACCTTGAATTGCGTAATCACATAATGGACATCCTCCAACTATCAAAATTGAATAAATTTGGTCTTTGATTTATTTCATAGGTGGGTTTCTATTTTGTAAAAATATTAAAAATATGCTTTGATCTCTAAAGGGTCATAATTAAGTTTTTAATCAAAAAAATATGACACTAGTACCATTTTTTAAAATGTTATCTAAATGTTTATGATCTATATATAGTTATTTTGTATAAATATATATTTTTCTGATTCAAAAAATAAATTATGAATTTGTAGAGACCAAACTAATTTTTATTAGAAAATAGAAAACCACCTTTTATACCTGCTAGAGGATTAAATTAGTAACAGAACCAACCAATTTATAAGAGCACAAGTACAAAAGCAATCACCGGAGTGATCAAACCGTCGTACTTGAACCCAAATAAACCTGGTAGTCCAATGAAACCACGATGGATTTCAAACCAACTCGCATACAACCAAGACCGTACATGATTCAACATAACAAGCCACATATTACATCCCTTTCACAAGTAGTTCCCAAGTATCTCACATACATCGGACTTTGCATAGTTATTACAAAATGGGTTCACAAATAGCGAAAGCAAAGTAGTTGGAACCCCTCACACACTTAGTTCAAATACAAGCCAGTTCCATAGTCATATCCAGTAAAATCATCATGATAAGATAACATAAGAGATTATGCCCATGATCTAGTCCTCATCACCAACAGGGTGGAGACAATACTTACAGTAACCATTATAAAGCACGTCATCTGCAACTAGAGAGAATAAACCCTGAGTACGAGAATGTACTCAGCTAGACTGTCTGCCATGACCCTAGCATGGTTCCTAGTTTGTGCCAGACGGATTGCGTCATTCTGCTCACGACTCAACTACATGATCTGACCAAGGTTAGCATCTCTTTCCTTGACAGCACTCACAAACTACTGCCTGCGAGTTTCCAAAGCATCCATAAAACCACCTATCTCATTTTGGGCTGCCCTAAGCTCTTTACCATACTTGCGCGCATGTTTCTGCCACTTGCGCCGCTCATTCTATGCCTGCTGAAGAGCTATCAAAACACTAATATAAGTGCGCTGACGATCATGGAACATCTTCAGAACAGCCATCATGGCACTCATGGCTGGTCTAGAGCTTTGTGTCCGCTCTATCTCAATCATTACCAAGGGATCATCCCCAAAATCTAGCCAAACTGCCTCTGATGGGGCTACTCGAGGAATGGACTCGGCTGGTCCATTGACCAACTCGTCACCAAACTCTTGACAAATATCAACTAGCACTTCCAAGGCTGCCACCTAGGCACCTTCCCAAGGGGTTTGTCCATCAGCTTTGACGCTCCAACCAAGCCACTATGGTCTGTTTTCGTGAGGCGACACAACCACCTCAACGTCATACCACAGTGACCGTCCTTCAGCCTCTACTTGCTTCCAAGTATAATGAGGCGGCTCAGCGTATCCCACCGAATATAGCACCCTCCACAACAGGGTTGGAGTGCCAAACACGTGCAGGAATGTGCCAAACACATTGCAATTTGGGTGTGAGAGGATTATCTTACATGATAAGAAATATATAACGGGATAATTACTGATAAGGGAGGGAGTGATGCAAAAATGTAATGGCAAGAGTGAACATGATGCATGCACGTTCCGTACATCCTCACAAAGCTTAGGAAAATTTATGATCCTAGCGACATAGGTGGTGGCATACACACGTTCTCTATATACGTATCTAATCGGGCTACCCGTTGCGCTGTTAGTGTACCTGTAGGAAAATTCATTGCAGCCCATCCCCACAAGAGATAAATAAGCACACAACGAAAGCAGTAAACTAAGATACTCTCCATATATACATCACAGGTTTATATACTTCGGTATCCATAGCTACCCAACAGATATACCCACAATTAAGTACCTTCATATATACATGTGTGTAACATGTAAATATTCCACTAACCAAAGCTAACTCTCCCCTAGACCGACAGTTGGACGGTCATGCTCTCACAACTCACACTTACCTGGGCATAGAAGCAATTGATCCATACATTACCACCCAAGCGGATGGCATCCATACAATAGCACGCCATATGGACGACGAAATAAAAATGCAAGCAATTACCCCCCCCCAAAGTTAGTACTTAAATAAGCCACCTAAAAGTCCTCATTTAGGCATAGAGGATATGACCATTGGCACACTTCGGTAAAATTTCATATTTGAACACACCTATATATAAGTGGCTATAAGATGTAAAAACCGATTTTTGTTGACAAAAACCTTTGTTTTAAATACACATATGGCATGTTTAATGTTGAACCTTACTCTAATGTCAGCTGTAATAGAACCGACTAATTTATAAGAGCACAAGTACAAAAGCAATCACCGAAGTGATCAAACCGTCATACTTGAACCCAAATAAATCCAGTAGTCCGATGAAACCACGAAGGATTTCAAACAAACTCGCATACAACCAAGACCATACATGA